CCAACCAACCAACCAACCAACCAACCAACCAACCAACCAACCAACCAACCAACCAACCAACCAACCAACCAACCAACCAACCAACCACCCAGCCAACCAGCCGACGAGCCCCGCTCACCCAGCCAACCAGCCGACCAGCCGACCAGCCCAGCCAACCAACCAACCAACCAACCAACCAACCAGCCGTATGTCTAATCATCACTTCTTCCAACATCATGGGGGGGGCTGCCGCCCCCCCCAACCCCCCCGCTACGTTTTAGTTGATTTTCTACTTTTTTGACTTTTTGCAGGGATTTAATTGCACCCCTATTCGAATCATTACTACTGCAACCATTATGGGGGGGGCTGCCGCCCCCCCCCCAACCCCCCTGCTCTGTTTTTTTTTTAAATTGTTTGTCGCAAAGGAAAGAGCCAAAGACGCAGAGTAAAACTTTGCCCATAGTGCCAGTCCCTGGAACCAGGGTTAGCCAAAAACCAGGGCGAGTCAAAAAAAACACCCCAACCGAGTCGCTGATAGTAGGTGAAATTAGTCGATTTTCGGCGCTTTGCCAGCCCGCAATTTGCGCGCACAAATCCGGTACTATCGCGCAAATATCCGCAATTGCGCGCAAATTCGAAAAGTGTGCGCATGTATGCGTGCGTTTTTGACCTTTTAATTAGGCAGCAGATGTCTAAAGCGCCCGAATTGCCAACCAAAAGATCGGTTTTGAGCACATGTGGTCGTCGCTTGAAGCTGCGCCACTTGCAAGAGCCGTTCGAACTTCTTGCAATTTCAAGGAGTTGAAACTTGTTTCACTTGTTTCACTTGACTGTCAAGCTGGCTTGGCAATGTTGAAGGCTGTTCCCGACAACCGCTCCGTTGGTAAATAGCCAAAATGCACTCTGGTTCTTTCGATCATCTAGGCGAGTTCTGGCCGATTAGGCGCATGTATCCTTGCCTATAGTTATTTTTGAACAGCTTGACAGGTTCATGTCCAGGCTATACACACCCCGCACCTTTTTCAAACCAGCCAACAACGCCTCGCGCAGTTCTTGAAACTTTGCGCGTTTGTTGATTGAAACGCGCACTTTTCCGTTGTGCGCATTTTTTTTTGCTCAAATGAAGATGCAGGCTAGATCAATACCTTTCCATCTGTGTATTTGTCCCCATGTCTGATCTCTTTCTTTGTACATACACATATAATATGTGCGTCTGCCTGCCTGCCTAACTGTTTGTTCTCTCTTGTCTGCCTGTTTGTCTGTCCGTCCGTCCGTCTGCCTCTGTGTTGTGTTTGTTCGCTATGCTTCTATCTATATGCTTCCATTTGCTTAATAATATTGTTCTATTTCCCTTGTTGGCCTTTTCAGGGAACCTATCACTACTGGAAACTTGTAGTTTTTTTTTTTTTTTTTTTTTCCGGGGGCTCACGCAAATGGATGCATACATATATATATATATACATCTATTACGCTAATGGTGAGTAGCCACTAGTTCCTGTACACAAGTAAAGGGTACACTTCGTCAGCTTCCCCCTCGGCGTTTTTGATTGGTTTGAAGGTCTTCCGGGGGGTGGGAAATCCCATGCATCTACAATAACCAGGGGTTCGAATCCCACCACCAATCCAAACCACAGCAGGGTTTCAAGTCCCACCAATCAAACCACCAACCACCAACTCACGAGCCTTATTGAGGGCTTGTCCTTGTTCATCCAGGGGTAGCCCCAAACCCCCCCCCCCCACCCGCCCAATAGCCCCCACTAGGGCTGCTGCATGTTGCCTGAGTTAGTGCCTGGGAGGTCTCAACGGGTGGGCACCCGTTTAAACCCAAAATAATGGCGTCATTACCCCATTTTTAAAGGGTGACGGAGACTCCAGGCACCATCATCATTCCAGGATTTCTTAGGTGGATTATGACCTCTTTTTCCTAGGGGTGAAGACTCTAGGTTATGAAAAACCGATTGAGCCAGGCCCGCGCTTTGAGCCGCGACATGCGGAAGCTGTTGGTGCGAGGATCGGAGGCTGCAGATTGCCCCGCCCCAATGGGAGACGGATGAAAGGTTTCTAAGGGGGTTGATCGATATTCTTCCGTTTGCTTAAGAATATTCTTCATTTTCCCTTGTTGGGTTTAAAAGGAGTCTTTCACTACTGGAAATATTTGATTTTGTGTTTTTGTTGTTCTATTTATTTTTTTTCCGGGGGTCTTATCCAAATGGAAGTATTCCCTTTGGCCCCGCAGTTTTGACCGTGGACAACCAACATGGGGGATATAAATACAATTTGCGGAGCTGCTAAAGGAAGTTTATGGGTTTGTCCCATTTTGTGGGTTCCCTCTTGAAGAGAGAGCAATGAGTAGCAGACGTGGAAAGCGATTGGATCTCTCCAGCTGCTCGCGCTGTCCCCCTTTTGGCGTGGCTTCTTTGGGTAGTGATGCCAGGGCCATGGCTACACCCCTGAGCCACAATCAACAACGATTTGGGTAGATGAAGGAGTCAGGGATAATCCCAACCATAGTCGGGTGCCGCCTTTTGAATTATTTACACGGTTACGGGTAGACTATTTCATACCGATCAGTTTTGATTCTGGCTCACCTGTTGTACAAGTCTCGAAAGGTGTTTGGCCAGGCTAGTAAGTTCCAACGGTTACCTAGGCTCCAACCGGTTTATGTCCTCAGTGGAACCAATCCCACGTGCCCAAGCGAGTTGTGAACATACGCTTGAACACCAAACCAAACGACTCATGAAGTTGCCAACGACTGAAAACCAGCGATGCTTTCCGGGAGTCGTTCAACAGACAACAGCAAGACCACAAGGAAATACCTGCCTTTGAAGAGGCTAGGTCCCCCAGTAGTGCCCTTTCACCTTTTTTTTGGGGGGGAGGGTTCCCCTGCTAAAATAGACTACAGAAAAAAGGGTACCCTTATTCTAACCTCTCTACTGGAGGACCAAGGAGAGGGATTTCATTTTTTTCACACACTGCCGTTTGTTTGGTCCGTATGAAAAACCATTTGAGCCACAATCAAAACCCGGGTGGATGAAGGTTAGTAAGGGGCAGTCCCAGCCCCAAATAGCTGCGGCCGCCTTTTCAATTCCTTACAAGGTTCTGGGTTCACCATTTTGTACCAGCTGGTTTTGAGCAAGTGACTCATTTGCCCAACTGCACTCCTTTTTGCCCCATTGGACGAATCGAATCTTGAACCTGTGGTAGCAGATTTGGTGACTTCGGGTCTTAGGGTTGCACTGAGGCCTGGAGGGAAACTACTCCGTGGTGGTCATGCGGTGAACCAATCTTCCGATTTCGAGCGGCGCCAGAAATGGGGCGCTGGCGAACTACGGCTATTTCGAGCGGTCACCGAGGTCACTAGATATGTGATGTGTTTTTTTCAGATTGTTTCAAACACGGGAGTATTTTGACAAGCCTGACCTCTATGGCTGTTTGTTTGTTCTCGCTCTCTCTCGCTCTCTCTTTTGCCTCTCCCTTCCCTCCCTCCCTCCCTCCCTTCCTCTCTCCCTCCCTCCCTCCCTCCCTCCCTCTCTCCCTCCCTCCCTCCCTCTCTCCCTCCCTCTCTCCCTCCCTCCCTCCCTCTCTCCCTCCCTCCCTCCCTCCCTCGCTCCATCCCTCCTTCTCTCTCTTAGTGTTTTATTGCATATATCATTTATTTTGTTTTTTTGTTTTCTGTTTTGGGGGAGGCAGGGGGTAGTTGTTCTCTCTGACCAACGGCAGTCGCCAACACTTTGCCAGTTCGAGTTGACACCAACGGGATAAACCGTGTGTTCACCCAAACCTGATATAAAAGAGCCCAGTCGAAGTTGGAACATTGCCACATCTTTCCATTTGTGTTTCAGAATATGATGTTTGCTCACGGCATCCTGCCACGGTGCATATTCTTCCACTCGCGTTTCAGCAGATGTGATATGTAACTCATCCTGGCTTTATAAGGACATCTATCACAATTGCACACATTTGCTACTTGAAAGGGGCGTCTTCGCACATGGGACGCATAGGCCGTTGCTCTGGTGATGTCACTGTGGATGCTTTGGCCGGCCCCGTGGCCCGGCCAAAAGCATACGAACATCGACGGGGTGCAAGCAATGCCACGACCAACTTACCGCGGTTGACCATGGTTGTGGAATTGAGTGTGGTTATAGGAAATACTATTTAAAGCAAATTCCATACTATGGAATTTTGATCATACTATGGAATACTATTATATTGTTTGAGCTTACTTCCACTATCTAGGGCAATAACTGTATCATTTGACCATACTCCGTACCCCCAATACCAACTATCTTCAGGGCAAGGCCGTGATGTCAACCTCTGATTATCTGACTCTATAACAGGGCCCCTTGAAAGATACATGTTGCCCCTTTGAAACATGGCTTTTTCCACCAAAATAAAGGGAAATCACCATTTACAAGGCAATGTTCAGGTGTATAGTGTAAGGATCCCTGTATAAGCAGACACTTACCACGAGAAACCTGTTTTTCCCCCCATAAAAGTGGGTGTCCCTGTCAATGCGACCCTCGAAAAAGACCGACCCAACTATGGACTGGACTCCTTTTGGGCAGACCATAACCAACATGTGGGGAGCTTTTATCGGCCCATCACCTCAGGAAGTGAGCATACCCGTTTTTTTCGTCTGGTTTACCATGGTACATACCAATACCTTTCTTAATCAATGGTTGACATCGTACCCAACCATACCGTGAAAAACGGCATTGGGCGTACCCGCACCCTCAAACTATCCATAAACATGAAAAATCACCAACCATTCGAGGCAAACGCGTGAGGGTCCAGGTAGGGGACACCCTGAGCCGAGAAGAAAGTGATGGTGGTATGATGTGAAACCTTGATTAAATCAAAGAGATTGGTATGTAATTACCATGGTAAACCAAGCGTTTTAAAACCTGCCCGGAGAAAAAAACAACAGGGAAGAAGAAAAAACACCGGGTATGCTCACTTCCCGAGTTGATGGGTGAAAAACCGCGGGGCTGTTGGGCGGATCCGAAAAGCTTTCGCTCCAGGACCCGAGCCCGCGTGTGGAGCGGCTGGTGGATGAGCGCATCAAGGTGCAGAGCATGCAACAGGCGGAAGGGGGGAGGATCTGAGACCTCAATGTACTGCTCGGATGGCTTTTCAGACGGACACACTGCTGGCTTGAGGGCAAACCACGGAACCTTGCAGAACATTTCTGGAACCCTTGTGGGACCTTGCGGACGCTGAAGTAGTGCCCTTCTCTCCCCTTTTTTTGGGGAGGGTTCCCCTACTAAAATAGACTACAGGAAAAAAATCGGGTACCCTTATTCTAAGCGCTCTACTGGAAGACCTAGGCTCACTCGATGTTCCAGCGCATCGAACTCTAAGCTTGTGGGTTTTTGGGGCCATCAACTTCATGGTTCTTGGTTGTTGTTGTTTTGTTTTTTCCCAGCTAGATCCTTTGTTCAGACCCGTCAGGTTGGTGGTTTGGATTGCTGGATTGGGGGATAAAGGAACCCCCTGGTTTCTGCAGAGGGTTAATGGGAAATCCCTCCTAAATCACCAAACCACCAATCCAAACCAAGGGAAGCTAATGTTTGGAGCACTTGGCAGGGGCTGTGTGTCGTGTTGTGTGTGTGTCTACGAAACGCTGGGGATGCATTAGTTCGTGGTTTGCCTTGAATTCGTGTTTTGATGCGATGCAGTGTTTGAAGTTTCCTTTCGAAATTCTCCGTTGGTAGGAGGTGTTTGTGATCTCCTCCAGAAGTCCCCTGTAATCTTGGATCTCCTGTCCCCTGTAATCCAGAAGTCCTCCAGAAGTCCCCACCAATTTCGGGCGGCTGATTTGGGTATTTAGCCCCTCAGGTGGGGACAAAACCCCTTCGAACACTTGGGCAGTTTTCCGTTTGGTTAAGACAATGTTTGTTTGCTTTTGTTAAATCAACAAACAAAAGTACAGAGAGCATGAACAGATGCCCCTGTGGGTTTGAACGCGAAATGGAGGTATGAGGTGATGGGGAGGAGACAGTTTGCAGCACAAACGGAAGAGTGGAAGAAGGTTTGCTACAGTCGGCCATGAGAAGGGGGATGTTGGGATCGCCTTTTACCCCGTAGCAAGTTGTTAACCCCAAATTCGCAGGGGACTTACGTAGAACTGGGCTATAACTTATATCCGCACGGGTTTTGGATACCATTTGCGAAGTCACTCGGCGAATCGAAGACCCAAGTCGTGCTCCGAGTCGACCAACTTTGCCGAAACTTGACCTGGACCCATCCGATGCACTCGAGACTCGAATCAAGCTCCTCGAAGAAGCAGAAGCCACCAATTTGTCTCACTTCCGTTTGGTTGGTTTTCGAAGTTTCGTCACTTGTTGGGGGTTGGACCACTTTAGTGGTAAACGTCAAGTGCGGTCAATAGGAAGTCTAGACTTTGGCTGGCCAATCCACTGAGGAACGTGGAAAATCAGCCTTTCCCCAACCAACAGAAGGTACGAACAACAACAAATTCCGGAGTCTACCAGGTTCAACTGAGGTTCAGTGGTTGGGTTTCCGCATTTAACCCCTAAAAGTTGGACCCACCACCGGGCAACCCTTGGCTGCTTTGATGGATTTGGACGCCTCAACATTGTGAGAGGCAGCGGCAACGCGAGACCTAGAAGTGCGCCTCGCGACGCTGTCGCGGGAACTGAGCTCCGCCGCTCTGCGACAAGATGGGGTCAAAATTGGGTCAAAGGTGCCGCTTTTAGGCCCAGGATGATGACCAGGGTAGTTTAAAGAGAAGCAACCGCGGGCATCCACCTTCTTTGGGGCTTCCCTATTTTAAGACACACTCAAATCAGCCATAGGAAAACCCAGGTCCAAACTAGGGCCACTATTCTCACGGTTTCTGGGGGTCAAAGTTAGAAACTGCAACTGGCGGTTTCCCTTTAACCTACCACTTGGGGGGGACTTTGATAGTGGTTAAAAAAATGGGGCCAGGATGACAGGTCCCAGAGACCCCCCATTTTCCGGTTTTCTTGGTCCAGGAACCTCTGGACTAGCTGTTCTACCACAACTAAAGCTGCCCTCCCCCGAAGCCATGTAGGGCACAAGCAGAAAGAGCTCTCGGGCTCGGGAACCTTGGCATGCTAACAGGTTTTTGCCCCCCAGCTGAAAGAGGACTCCAAAGTAGTCTTACCTCTTAAAAACACAACTTTTCAACTTGTTGGGTAACATGGGGTATATGTCTGTAAAACATTAACTTCCCCAGGGCTTGCAGTTTTAAGGGGTAAGGTTTGATTCCCCATTCTCTTCACCCGACTGAATCACTGAAAGCGTGGGGGTCGCTAGGTGCCGATCGGCGAGATCGGGGCCGCTCCAAGGTTTTGGGTTGATACCGCCTCCTCTTGTCCTTTTTGGCTTCCCCTTTGAATACCAAAAGTGGAATCTGCATTTTTTGTCAAAGGGAACCCTTTGGAAAACCAAGGGGACTTGAGTCACTTTTGGGGTTTGGTATGTTTGGTTGCCATTTTAGCCTGCGGCTACTTAGCCAATCCACTCGATCGGAAGTGAGAGGTGGTTTCCCTTTAACTCGACCACACAAAGACAGTGCCGATTTCTTTGGAAGGCACCTGAGGGTCTGGCTAAATGGAGGTTTGTCAAAAAAAGCAGATTTCCGCTTTTGGTATTCAAAGGGGAAGCCAAAAAGGACAAGACCTGTTTTAGAAACTCCCTCAACCACTGGTGGACATCAAGGTTGGATTTCAACCTTTCGCTTGCCACCTTGACGCGAGTTTCCCCTTGGTGTCACGTTGATCGCGCTGGGGGAGGAGGAATGTGCGTGTCTAAAGTGGGTCAACCCTGGGTACCATCTTACGACTTTGCCCTGGACAATTGGAAAATCAACCCTGCGTTAGTTTGGTTTAACCCCGATTGCAAAACCCAACCGAACAGCGGGGACCGTCAACTTCGTAGCTCGGGAAAGGGCCCCGTCCTTTGGATGGATGGTTGAGAAGAAGGGTTGTGAGATCAGTACTGGAAATCATTTTTTGTCGACTCAAGCAAATGGAGGATTACAACGATTGCGGTTTACTGAATTCTCACTTCCTGACGTTCTGTTTCGGACTTTAGCCATTTGTTTGGGGGTTTGGTTGCCATTTTAGTGACAAACGACAAGGTTTCTGACTTGGCCAATCTACGGAAGTGATTTGCTGACTTGGCAACCAATGAATCTTTCTGTTGACAGGGTTCATCTGAACAGTAGGCCAGTCCACGCCGCTGGTCCCCGTGAAAGGGACTCGACTCGCGGTCTTGAACGTAGGACATGGTCCCTGAAAATAGGACGTGGCCCCAAACAAAACATTGAAGAGTTATGCCATGTGTGTTTGCTCTATCTCCTGAATCTTTCCTGAATGGAATTGGGATGCGGGTATGTGTCAAACTAGGAGAAGCCCCTGAAACATTTGGCTGTGGGTCAAAACCAATGGTACCATTTTGGGGTACGATTTGGATTTTGACCCCTGAAACATGTGTTTTTCTGGTCATGTCCCTTTAAACCTCCCCCCAAAGATCCCAGCTGCCACTGTAACCAGCCATTGTCCTATTGGTTTTCCAAAGGGTTCCCTTGGTTGCCAAAGTACACAAAGGGGACTGAAAACTTCTGGAATCCCTAGGGGGCGTTTTTGAAGGAACCCTAATTACGCACCCCGGCCTTGTACCTACCTCCCTTAGCTTGGTGGATTTTGGTTGATTTAGTTGTTGGGTGTCCGTTTATGCCCACTACTAGCTGGGTGTCCATTTGTTGTTGTTGTGAGTTGATTTTAGTTGGGCTTACGTCACTTTCAGCATTGTTTTTCAGGTTTCCAGTTGGTCTAGCGGTATAATCCACTAACAGTCCCTCTCTTTTTTTCCCAGGGGATCAGAAAACATCATAAACCAGTTCCTCTTTTTCTCAGGGGATCAGAAATCGGACCGCCCGGCTTGGATTCCAGTTCAACCAAAAAGCCCCACACCCCGCCGCTCGTTCCCCCCGTCCTCCCTTCCTTTCTTCCTTGCTTCCTTCCTTCCTTGCTTCCTTTCTTCCTTGTTTCATTCCTTCCTTCCGTCCCTTTCTTCTTTTCTTCTTATCTTCCATCCTTAGCGTTTCCCGCGCTGCGCAGCTCAGGCTGTGGAGTCGCACCGAGGCCAGGTCGTGAAGGCAGGTTCGCCGAGAGGGTGAGGCGAGTGAACCAAAATAATGCTGACCCTGCTTCCCCAGAAGCAGTTCCCCTCTTTACTTTGTTTTTGTTTCTCGCTTTTTTGGTGTTCCGTTTGTTTTCCACGAACCAGGCAAAAACATAATATGTTTTTGCTGGGGTCCTAATTCCAGCCAAGCCTGGGGTTCCAAAAGGCGATTGTTTTTGCGTGTTTTCTCGGTGAAAGGCTTTGTTTTGCCAGGAGTTGACGAAGTTTACTGACTCTTTGGGGTTTGGATCATTGTGGTGGTAAGCACCTTGTTTGTTGCCAATCAAGCTGATCGGAAGTGAGTAATGTTGACCCAATCAACCAAGCAGTTTACTGATCGGGGGTGGGGGGCGGACCCCTCCAGTGGTCTGACTCCCAACAAATTGTCCCAGGGAAAAGCCCCGAGTGAAATGAACTAGGGTTCATTAACGGGGCTCCTTAAAAGATACATGTTGCCCATTTGAAACATGGCTTCTTCCACCAAAATAAAGGGACACAGCCATTTACAAGTTGCAATGTTCAGGTGTATAATGTAAGGATCCCTGATTGATAGGGGGTCAACCTTACAAGAACAGAACTCACTGCTACAATTTCGGGGACTTGTTTTCTTTTTTGGGAGAGCATCTTTTTGAGTGTTGTAAGCGACAAGTTGACGTTTTCCCTCAGGAAGCAACATAACTCACTCACTGAGATCATGGGCTGCCACCTTTTGGGTTGGGACCCTTTTTGGTGGGAAACAACATGTTTAGACTGGTGTTGGCCAATTAACTCCGGAAGTGAGGAATGTGTGGGACGGCTTTTTGCTTTTTGGGAAGACATTGTTTTAGTGGGAAATCAAAGGTTCCTGGATTGTTTTGGCCCATCCGCTTGATCGGAAGTGAGAATCTCAGCGTTGTGTGGCTTCCGGTCATAGTCTCACTGTTTGGGAAATGATGATGTGTCCCACTCAACCGCAAACAGTTTCACTTTTTGCACAGGCGGTAATAGTCACACACTTAGACAATCGTTAACCTTCAACTCTTCGGGAACGTGTTTGTTTGCCGCCACCCTGCAACAAGTTCAGCCTTTGGAGCAAAGAATAGTCGCCATCAAGATTTGTTGGTTCGTAGTTGGCGAAGTGTTCGGTGGGGTTCAGGACCTAAGCACGGAGTCAACTCCACGAAACGCGGGTCACTGGGCAACGATCGAGTTCTCTTTGCTTGCCTCACTGTCAAGGGAGTCCTCAGTGACACGGACTTTTTTGAGCAAATCGGATCCTTGGGTGCACTGTTGACTCGAAAGGCAGGCCGCCAGAGAAAGATACCAACTAATTCGGTCCCCCAGTCTGCCCTTTTACCCTTGTTGGGAGGGTTCCCCTAACATGTTTCATGTTTTGAGGGAGCCCCTGTTGGCCAAAAGAAATACCAAAGCCATGCGGGTCCGGTCCGGGTCCACGACAAAGAGACAGCCCCATGTCCGGTTTGGGAATGGGAATTTGCCTAGATTAGAATGGGCTTGTGGTGCTTCAAACCCAAGTTCTTTCATGGCTTATGATTCTATGATTTGTGTGAAGCACCTCATTCTCATTTGGCTATGAATTTGAAGCACCCCCTCAAAAGTGCTTGGTGCACAAATTCTTTCCAACCAAATTATGATATCCACCAAAAGGTCCCTGATGTTTTAAAGCATCATGCCCATTTGTTGGTATAGCCAGCCCCTTGAACCACACGCCTTGCGCATGGGAAGGGGAAGCGTTGGTGGGTCCACCAGACCCTGAGTGTTGGATGCTTCAGGTGACGCAAGCGGTGGGAGAGCTCGGTCGGGACTGGCGAGTCGAGTCGCGCGTCGCACGTCGCGAGTCGGACAGCGATCCGGATTCCCTCATGGTTTTCCGTGAGCAAATGGATGTCTTTTTGAAGAGTCGATGCCCATGTTTGGGGGTCTTTCAGAACGGACGCCAGAAGGGCCGTTTTGGAAGTCCCCTGAAACAAGAACACACCTAAATACATCTAAATACTATTTTTTAGTTAGGGGTTCATATATCATTGTACCCCAAAAGTTGTAGTTTTAGGTTTAGAGCGAGTGTCAAGGTCAGAAACTGGAAATGGTTGTTTCCTGCCGCTGAACAAGGGCGACTTTGATGCTAAAACTATCGATGCCAGTTGCCTGCGTTGTGAAGGTCCCTTTGGCGGGTTTCCAATACGGATAAATTCGCATTGGCGTCGATTCCTGTCGGGTTCTACAGGGTTTCTTGAGCTTCAGCCCCCTATTTCCTGCCCCTTTTGACGGTCCATCTTTCGTCCCCCTCATTTCCAAATAGGTTTTGACGGTTTGATCACGTGTTGATCCTTCAGCGAAAGGTTCTCGCCTTGTTGCAGCCGGGTCTTTTGGGGGAAACGCGACAAAGGACATTCACTTGGGCCGGCCAAACACCGAGAACTTGGAACCTGCCAGCTGCAGGGCTCCTGAAAAAGATACGTTTTGCCAGTTTGAAACATGGTTTTTTTCCACCAAAATAAGGAGAAACCAACATTGCCAAGGCAATGTTCAGGTGTATAATATGTATAAGGATCCCTGTGATGCAAGAGTTGTTCCATCTAGAATGAGGATACCACGCGAAGCGCGTCTTTGCAATTCGTGTTTGGGGGGGCTACTCGTTTGATCAACATGAAACCCAGAAGCAGTTCCTCTCGCCAGCCCTTTTCTCCCAATTTCCCAAGAAATGCTTTGCAAGGGAGGTCCATGGCGAGGCAATGAGAAATACAAGTCTCCCTGATGACCCCCTTCAGACTTCGTAGTTTTGACGTCATGTACGTGGGAGTCAGCACAAACACCTTGGCATTCTCTTGGCCCAAGCTTTCAGCAGTTGCTGAAGACAACTGCTCGCAGACGGATTCGATTTCTGAGCCAATTTCACGGGATCCGGGGATCTCCATGAACAAACACGCCTCCTCGATCGCAAAACCTTCTCCACCCATGGCGAGTGGCAGCTTCATGCGGGTGATGGCCATGCTGGCGTGGCTGGGCAGCACTTACCGGATTCGTTCGACTCGATGTTTCGCTCTGCAATCAATAATTCTAGGTGCTGATTCCCTATTCTTTTCAAGCATCGTTCTTTTCAAACACCAGCTGTTTCCCCTGGGGTTCTGATGGTTTCCTGGAAAGAAGGATCCCTGGAAAGAATGGGGAAGTGTCCCCTAAAATAATGTTGACCCCAATAATCAAGCCCAGTCTATGAATAGGGGGTCGGGGGGGCCTTGAAAAGGGGTCTGATTCCCCACTACATTCAGGGACACCCCCGTATTAATAAACTGGGGTTGATTGATATGGGGTCAACATTATTCGGCTGGGACATGCAACTCCCCCCCAACAAGGGGACGTCCCAATTCTCCCATGTCCTTCGTAACACGGATGTCTGGCCCGCGGCGAATGCAGGAGAACACAGTACAATGTTGACCCTGAAGTAGGCCAACCTGGTGAATTAATAGCAACAAATTGACCAATTCCATCTGAACTGGGTTACTGAATCGCTTGACCAGCGGTTTCTCGGCTTCCGATAGCCAGCATCCATGCGGACAGCTCAGAAAACTGAGTTGTTCAATGAGTCGAGCTTTGGATCTTCAGGAAACAAACGTAAGCAGCGCCCCAAAGAAGCATTGGCCATGGTGGTAGGTAGCTCCCTAGAGTCTCCATGACCAATAGAAAACGGGGTTAAATGGCTGAGAAGGAGACTCCAGGTCTTAGTAAAGCCTGTAGATAGCTTATATCCATGTCGGTACAAAGCAATCAAGTCAACGGGTTTTGGGCACGGCTCATTTTCCCCCACCCGGGGTGTGATGCCTTGTACTGTACCCTGTAAAAAGGCAGGTATTTCGAGTGGGAGGTTGGTCCAAAAACAATTGTGTTTCCAGTAGCAGGTTGGTTGTGGTCCACCGGTCCGGGCAAGTCAGGAACGATTGCCTGCTGTCGCAAGGTTGTGAGCTCGGGCTTGGGCCCCGCTATCAAAAGATGGCTACTCACTCCCCGAGTTGCGTTTCGGGCTTCGTTCTTTTGGGGGAGACAATTCACCACAGCATGTTTTTTGTCGGTCCTTCATTCAGGGGGCTCCCTTGATGGCACCTCACTGGTCACTATTCGCCTGCACCGCCCCTTCGAGTAGCTTTTCTTGGCCCATCTTGATCGGTGGGTCTTTGAGCCGCGTTCTTGGTTTTTCGGCGTTTTGTGAGAGAAGCTCGCGCGGCTTTTTCTTGCTGGTGCTCAGTTGGCAATGAGAGAACAAACACACAGGTCCCCTGAATGGAAAAACCACCAGTTGCATGGCGTCTAGGGATCATTCCATTTCTCCTTCCCATCGCTGGCACCAGCAAGCAAGTGAACCTGAATGTTCCCTTAAAGGACACCACAAGAAATTGTTTATACTGGCCATTCCATTTCTCATTCCCTGCATCGCTCACACCAACAAGCAACCTGGAGTCTCCGTGACCCTTTAAAATTGGGTCACCCCATTATTTTTCGGGTACTGACCAAGCATTTTCAAAGGGTCAGAAGGGGACTCCAGGTAATGTTGGAACTTGATTAATAAAGGCCCCCCCCCCTCAACAATGGAGGAAAATAACTTTGCATTAATTACCCCCCTCAACAATGGAGGAACACACTGTGCATTCCCCCCCTCAACAATGGAGGACAAAAACTTTGCATTATTCACACTCCCATCAATCGGGGTGTTAACATTCGTCATTCCATTTCTCCTTTTCTCCTTCTGCAAGTTTCCTGGCCTAGGCCGCTGGGTTCGTTCGCGGAGTTCATGAGCTGCCAAGCCTTGAGGGACACTTGGCCGCGCGATTCTCGCGTTCGCTTCGTCGCTGCGTCGCTGCGTCGCGCCGGCTCCGCTCCAAGCCGCGCTTCGCAATGCGCCGGGCGAGCGAGTCCTTTTCCAACCCCCAAAAGGATATACCCAGAGTCTCCATGACCCTTGAAAAATGAGGTCACAACCCCTTAATTTTGGGTGCCCCCATTTTCAAGGGGTGATGGAGAGTCCAGGTACCCTGGTCGACGTGACGCTTTTTGATTGCTTCATTGGAAAGGACTACCCAGAAAATCGCAAGTTGAAGGGGTGGCAGAAACCATTTGTTTTTCGGACTCACAGAATGGTGATCCTCCTGTTGTTCCTTCAACCCCCTAAGTATTAGCATTCGAGAGACTCTAGGTATTAACATTCGAGAGACAAGGGATATCAAGGGATCTTTCTTGGAGTTCCGAAAAAGAATTGGTGCCTCAGGAGCAACCCGTAGAAAAAGCAGAATATCTTGTAGACCCAGTAGTCATTTTCTTCAGGGCATGAAGGACCCCCACACCCTCAGCCCCCGCGGGGCCCCTCCCCCCTTAAAGTAATTGGGGGGGGATATGATATGTCAACTGACTACAAAAGGGATACCATGGCAAGCCACTTTCTTCCAAATGTACTCGTAAATAACCGGCGGGTATTTGGAGCAGTCGGGGGCATTCCACAGAGAAGGTTCAGAACCCACTGTCGGGGAAACCACAGGTTTCGGCAAGCAGTTCTTTCAAAACAATGAACACACAAAGTGCTAGGATTGCGGGGAGAACTTAGATGGCCTGAGACTCTACCATTAGTCTAGGGGCACCTTCCCCATTCTTTCCAGGCATCCTTCTTTCTAAACAGCCACCCAAAACCCTGGGGCAACAGCCGGTTCTTGCAAAGAACGATGGTTGAAAAGAATGGAATCGGACTCACGCCCTAGAATGTTCAAAGCGTTTGGGTTCCTAAGCTAACATCTCACTCCCTGAGTTCAGGGATTTGAGCCGTTTTGGGTTTGGACCTTTTTGAGTAGTAATCCTGGTCATGGACCCTTGTATGATGTGATGAGACTTGTTTCATCCAACGCATGGGTACTGGCCACCAGAAAGCGGGAACGGCATTTGGGTTCTATCCCACTAACAGGCTCAAGCCCATGTAGGGGGACTTGTAGATGGGTCATAACCTGGGCTATATCCTGGGGTATAACCTGGGTTAGAAGCTGGGTCACCAGCAACTTACTAACTTGGCCGAACAGCCAAGTAGCAAGCAGGGACCTGGAAATGAAAGGTTCACCAATGTTGCGCCCAAAAAAGCGTCGAGTCGGGGCTATTTTTTTGTCCCACGACTCCGCTCAACAGCTCCGAACCCAAGGACACGACGCTGGGCCCCGGGTTTTGGCGGCGCGGACCTCGGCTCTCTTCGGGATCTTATCCATTTCTCTTGGCGATCGGTTCAAGGCAACTCACCAAATTGATCAACGTTTGACGGGAACATCCAGGGAGCTTTGATCTACCCTCTCGTCCTCCAACATAGAACGATGACCGGCGGGGGGGGGTCCTGGACGATGTTCAACACAAATTTGTAGGGGTACAACTCATGGTTACAAATTGTTACAAACTTTCAAGGAGGTGTTGGTGCAAATATTCTAGGTCGCCCAGTGGTGCCCTTCATCTCCCCTTTTTTGGGGGAGGGTTCCCCTACTAAAATAGACTACAGAAAAAAAATCGGGTACCCTTATTCTAACCTCTCAAATCTGGAGGACCTAGTATTGGTTATAGCAAAGCCGCTGCTCCCCACTGAGCCTTGTCATCCAAGTAGTGGGCTCGAAGCCTGGGGGTCTGTGCTTTCCGGAGTCAAAGCTTGGTGCGGGCTTTTTTTTGGGGTAAATGATGTGTGCGTCCAAGTAGGGGGACTCGAAACTTGTGGTTTTCCTTTGGTTTTCAGTGAAGCCACCCAATAAAAGAGGTACCCTCGAGATAAACAAACCAAAATCGTCTTGAACAA